CGTTCACAGGGAGTCTGAAAACTGAGCACTTACAATGACAGAAACGCATCAATTTAACTGAAACAAGTGCAGGGGGACACTGATGTGGACGAATGTGCGATACACACTGTGCTGTCCCAAGCGTAAATGTTTGCATTGTTGAGAGTCGGCTCCAAAGCCCGCTGAGCTCAAAGTGATTTTTTTTCTGCTTTTGGTGGACTGGGGATCAGGCTGCAGAAGCTCACAGTGAAAGTCCTTTGGACCACTTTTCCCAGGTCTCATATTTGCTGGTGGATCTGCTGGGCACCTTTCTCCATCACCGCTCCAGCTTGGGGGTTCGGAGCCCCAGCTGGCGTTCGCTCAGCTGTTGCAGTCCAGTTGCCTGTGTCTTAAACCTGTTCAGCATTTATGGCTCCTTTCCAGTGTAAGCAGGGACTCTAGGCAGGTGAGAGGTATGAGTGGAGGTTTCCTTCCCACCTGCCTGCATGGCCATCAGTATTTCTTGCAGCTATTGCTATTTGTAAAGCAAAAAGTGCCTGGGCTCCTTCTGGGCAGTTGCTTTGCTGCTCTTGCCAGACAGGACCCATGTCAAGATGAGAGCTTGGACGGAGGAGGCAGCCAGAAGGGTTTGCCTGCGAGGTCTCTGCTGCCTTTCTGTTCTGCCCTGACACTCCTAACTGCTGCCCCAGGAGAGCGTGGCAGCGCCGTGGCACGTGGCAGCGTCTGCTCTTTATGGCACCGTGCTGGCGGCCGGCTGGGCGGCACGGACCAACACCCCACCGTGATGCTCCCTTATTCATAAAGCAAACGGAAACTTTCCTGGGCTTTCCTGCCTGCCGTCACAGGAGGAGAGGAGCAGCCTGTGCCTGCATGTAACAGCGGTGGATGGTTATTCAGAAAGCCCTTGACGGAGGCTTTGAGAATGACTGAATTTAGGTGTTGGGGTGGGCTTTATCATGTGGTTTTCCTTCCTATGCTTTGTTGTTGCATCTTTTTAAATATGTTTCATCTGTACAGTGGGATCAAACCTCAGAGACCTAATCTTTGCTGCGGGTAAGACGCTATGTTCCTTTGGTGTGTACAGGAGGGAGCTGCCTGGGAGGCCCCTGGAATGTGCTAGTTTGGGTGGGAGTATGAGAACCACCATCGGTGCCGATCTGGCCGATAGCCATCGCTGGAGTTTCATGATGACCTGCCATCAAAGGAGGGTCCAGCTCTGTTTTGTGACTCTGGTAGCTGCTTCGGGGCTGTGGGTTCAGACTTTGTGCTGGCAAACATCTAAGGGACTGGCAGGTGAATGGTGACTTCAATGTAGAAATCCCCAAATGTAAATGACGGTAAAAGGGGATTCCTGATTCTACTTCATACAGCAACTTCTTCCTGACAGATATAGTAATTCTGAGTATCTGAAGGGAAAAAACTGCTCCTGGCATGAGCTGTAAAATCAAAAGCTGGAAAGAACCATTTAACGGTTCCTCATTCATCTCTTCACTCTCCATCTGATGCAGTTTGTCAGATGAAGATGTGATCACTCTTGTGGTTTCCTTTTGAGACATTTTTTGCACAGCAAAACAAACTTGATATTCATGAAGGATGCCCACAGAATCATGAGTTCCTTTCTCTGTGACTGCCAGCACCAGCTAGACTTTCAAGTGGCCACACAGCTTTGCAGGGGCATTGTTCATTTAACGTAGGTTTAGATACGACTTTTAAAAGCAGTTCTGGAAAGCATTTTCGGTAATTCCTGTGAATTTCAGTAAAAGCAACAGTAAAAGCATGGTGCCCAGTCCCGCCGGTGCAGCCTGCTCGGAAGGGCTGGAGCACTCTCGCCTCCACCCACCCAGCCATCCCTCTGCCTCTGTGGAGCTCAGCGGGAGATCATGTCATTATTTTACTACAACATAGAGGAATACTTCAGTATTTTCTTTCAAATGGTTGTTTCTTGCTCCAATGACTTCCCTGTTGCTACCTGCATGACCTGCACAGCTGGACGACCTTGCCTGCAAGCGACGTATCGGCAGCTGCCCGACCCTATCTACTGCCGTTACCTCTTGTTTCTTAAAGTTGAATGAATTTGTAGTTCATCACTTGGATCACTGAAGAGAGCTTTCCCTATGCAGTATTTTATCTCATTAGCCCCAGTATTTTGTTTGGGTTTTCCTTGCAATAATCTTATGCTTTTAAGAACAAAACCTTTATTAAGGGACTGGACTAGGGCAGCCAGATCTGATTACTTGGCAGAGGCAGGGCAGCAAAGTGACAGTCCCTGTAGCCTTTGATATGCAGTAGGAAACTTTAATGACCAGAGGTTACTTTTTGGCTCAGAACAGCAAAGTTTTTACGTGCTCGGCTTTGTGGTCTTAGTCCGTAATACAGCAGATCATTGTCTTTCAGCAAGGCAAATGCGCTTTGCTGACTTGTGACTTTGGGTAGGGACGTGCTGGGTGGTGGTTTGATGCATTAGGAATAGGTGGTGGTTCTTGGAGGGAGGGAGCGTGCTCTTTCCATCCTGGTCCAGCTTTGGTTTGTTTCTCCAGAGGAATGGAAATGGCGGTATTTGTGCTCATGGTAAAAGGTGTGTTTATTTTTATTAGAAAAAACAAGCTCAGGAGCAGAAGAGGCAGGCAGCAAATGAAGAAGAGTGTGGCTCCACGATTGTCGCTACTCTGCACCATCAGGACAGAGCTCGTCCTCCCTTCTGAGGCAATTCACACCCAGGGTGAAGCTGCAGGAGTGCTGGCCTGAGGTGCTGTGGGGCGTACGTTTGGGTTTGCAAGGCTACAACATGCAGCTCTTGTAAAGGGTAGGAGTTGGAGCCTGGAGAGCTCCCTCACTGGAGCAGACCTTGCCTGCTCCGAGTGTCCTGCAGACGCAGATGGAGGTGGCTGCGTGGCATACCAAGCACCGAGCTCACCCCAGGAGACATCAACGGGAAGTACGAGGTGAGAGCCCCAGTGCTGCAAACTCCAAATAGCTCCCACAAACTTCAGGGGTTTCACGGACTCTTGAGCACCTGGGGCTCTTAGGGAAGAGCTGCAAGGCTGGTCTGGCACTTCAGGAGCCTGCGGCGATGCTAAGAATCATTAGCGTGATCTCAGCTGCTCTGGACTTTGTCTGGTCTTGGCTGCTTTTCAGTAGGGTCACCAGATTTCCATCTTAATTCTCTCTTTCCGTGGGCTGTAGATTAAAGGCAGAACTTAAATTTAACATTTTTAGTAATAGAATTATACAGAAGTTTCACTGCATCTGAGCTTAAAATGCTGCTAAATTATCATTTTCCTGTCATCACTGGTTCAAAATGCTGCTGGCTTGCCATGTGCTCAGATTGCATTACTAGATTAGGAACTTTGAATGGGCACTGTGTTTCAGCCAGCATCTCTTGCCACATTAGAAAAACTAATTCAGTAAAAATCTGTCATGTGGTCATCAATATGCATCCTTCCCAAGCTGATTAGCCTGGTAGACATGTCCATAAACCTATTACGACCAGCATCATACCACCCCTCTCTGTGCCAGAAACTGCGTCAGGTCTTTCCTTTGTGGTCGTACCCATAGTCTTTGTGGGAGATCTGGCAGTGCTTAAAGTAGTTCTTTAGTCTTCACACCCTCCAATAAATTATGCAGATCTGTGCTGGAAACTTCCCCGTGACTGACAACTGTAAAGATAAACTGGAGAGGGACACGGGACCTGATTCCCCCAGAATTTGAGCTTGTGGGTGTTGAAGGAGGCTGGCCCTATGCCAAGGGTCTAACTCATCCCTGAGCAGAATATCTGCACAAGGTACGAATGCGACTCAAGACAAGGGCTTAACTGGGGCTTACGAAAACGCTCAGTGCTAGGCAGGATTTGGCCAGTGCTGATTTGACCTTAATTGTTTTCCCTTCTCATTTGGTTGTCCATCCGTCACTTGCTGGGTAGTGGCTGAGGAGGGAAGGGTGCTGAGCAGGGTGGCATCTGTCTCACCGATGGTTGCGTTAGAGTGGCGAAGGATCACCCAGACGTTGGCAGTGGCTCTCTGTACATGTGGTTTGTGCCCAACACCATTGATTGTGAGCTACAGCACAGCAAATTAGTGGTGGATTATTTTTCTTCATGCATTAAATATCCTTGATGTTTACATTGATGGTTGCTTACATGTGTAATCAAGGTTTTGCTGCATCCTACAACCCCACACCTTCTGGTAATGTTTTTTATAGGTCCCAAATCAACGTATAGTGCATCAGCAGTGGAGACATCTCACCTTAAAATGGCTGACAGTTCACACACCGAAGCTTTCAGCTTGTGCTCTCTTGCAGTATTTGCTTCTTGTTTTCCTTGCGATGGCCGTGCTCCGAGCACGAGGTCTCCTGAAGCAGGGCTACAGAAGGCTAAAAGCAACGGGCATGAAAAATGTGTGTGTGTCCTGGGGTCCAGCCGGCTCAAGCCCTGGGAGGGAGCACAGATCTGCAAAGTATAATTACAGAACTGAGCCAGGCAGCCTGGCTAGCCACCTTCTTCCAGATGGTAGAAATCTGGTGCAGAGAAGGCAACCGCGGGTCTCCCAGCTTTATGCACACCTAACATGGTGTCTCCGTCGTGGGGCGCACGGGCATCCCCAGTGCCCTGAGTTCCTGCGAGGGTCTGACAGCAGCTGTGGGTCCAGCAGCCTGAGCATGAGTGCCTGGACACTGCTGAGCAAGGAACCTGCCCTCTCAGGCTCTCCCCTTTCCTTTTTTGGGGGGAAAGAATGAGATTTCACTTGGTCTCCTGCTGCAGGGCTGTCTGCATGTCCGTGCTGCCGGCGGCCTGCCCACGGTGCGCCGTCACCTCCCTGCCCTTCCAGCACAGCCGCTGCTGGGGCATCCACCAGCACGGGGCACCGGGCACTCGGTCACGGCCCCCTACACTCAACAGCCATCGCCAGAGAGGACAAAAGAGACAAGAGGTTTTGCCTAAAATAGGGTGAGTGAGGAAAACAGGAGGTGGGCAGCAAGCAAGGACAGTGGGCGAGATGTGCAGCTGCGTCCAGTACTTTGGATAGCAAAGGCAGCCTTGGAGCAGCAGGCTCCTGCCCAGACACAGCCTCCAGCCTCGGGTAAGCAGCATCGCCAGGGTGCTCTCCCAGGTTTTTAGGATGATACTCAAAACCCCTCTGGTTTCAGTCATATTTCCAGAGTCCATCGTGGCCGGCATACCCAGACCCCCGCCACCAATCGCTGCCGAGACCTGTGCCTTTGTCCTGTGTTACAGAAATGTTCACTGGCCTGGCAAGGTGTCCCCTCTTGCTTGGAAGCAAGCTTTAAACTGGGCAAACTGGGCAGCTGGGTTTCATTAAGAAGTGAGGTCCCTGGTTTCTTACTGGTTTGGTGTAACACGAGCTCCATCTGCACTTGCACGAGCAGCTGAGCTGCATCATTTTGGTTCAAAGCGCTGCTTGCATCTCCCTGACCGGCGTTGTTCTCCCTCCCAGGGTGTGACCGAGGCACAGAAGCTCCTTTGTGTGGCTGAAGTGCAAGTCTTAATGGAAGGGATGGGAGAAGACAGCTTTTCTCCTTCCCATCCCTCCCCGCAGATGAATGCGGAGAGGAGCACTAATGGTCTGTGCCACGGGAGCTGCCGAATCCGTGTGCCGGGGGCTCCAGCCGCTCTCTGGCAGGGCTGAGCAACCCACACAGCAGGCTGCTGGCCAGGAGACCCCGAGCTGCCAGCAGATTTATGCAAAAGCTTTGGCAGGCAGGATGCGATTCCATACTGGGGCGGCTGGAGGTAATCCAGTTTTCTTACTGGGTCTTGCACTGGTTCACCCAGTGAGAGCAAATTTGTTGCTGGTTGTGTTGGGTTGTTCAGCTGGAAAATGGAGTGTCCTGTGAATGCTCAGGCTCCTCTGCAAAGCCTGTGAGATATGGAGGAGCCCCGTTAGGAAGGCAGATGGGCTTGGGATGCAGCGGCTTGTGCGGCAGATGCCCCTGTGCTGTGCGTGCCAGTGACCTTGGCACTTGGTCCTGAGTCCTGTCACTGCCATGCCTGGTCACAGGAGCTGCGGTTTTGGGAACAGACCCGACGGGCAGGAGGAGGTGGGAGTTGGAGGAGTACCTCTGGAGAGCAGGATTCCTGCATCCTTGCTCAGACCCGTAAAATCTCACTTGCAGTGGAAAATCTGACCTTGTAGTTTTGCTTTCAAGTTGCTGATGAACTTGTGGGTTTGAGCAAGTGCAGTTTGTGGAGGTCATTGGAAAATGGCACTTGTTTTGCATGAACTTTAAAAAAATGTTATGGCTTTTATTTTCCCCCATCTATCCACAATTTCTCAAAAAAATTTTTTTTCACCTATAGTTAAAAAGAGAACGCCAAATCTATTCTCATTAAAATATTTTATCAGCACCGGTTTGGTTTTTTTAAGAATAGCCATAAAAATTCAATCACAGGGGGAGAAAACCCATGGAAAGACTTGTTTTCACTGCAAAGCATGTTTTGACAGGAGTATTTCAGCCAGCGCTGATGTTTTGAGTGCATCTATCAAGTGTGTGCGCTTGCAATTTGTTACTATTTAGACCTCTCGAGAAGAAGCCGCATGTCCCAGGTTGCCTGCATTGGCAGCACCCGGCCGAGGGTGTCTCATGGGGTGATGTCTCAGGCCGTCCAGCCAGAAGAAGGATGCTTTGCTCTGCAAAACCCTCTGGAGTGTGAAGTTAAGCAGTAAAACATCTGTTCTTTCCATCTCCATCCCAAAAACGCTGCCTGGGCATCCTCCATTGACAGCCCCAGATGTGGAAACCTGCCCGCAGGCAGCCAGACACCCTGGCCTGTAATGTCCTTAATCGTATTTATGGGAGCCCTCCCTCACCCGCTGAAACTGGCACCCAAAAGCACAGAGAAGTAGTCCAAGTTGTTAATCCTGGGAGGACTAAGTAAAACACTTATCGGAGAAGCTGAGTACAAGTTTGCTGGCCTGCCAGAGAAATAATCCCGTGGAATCAGAGGTTCTCAATTATTCATGTTTTCCAGAATCACATTATTTCTTCCAGGGCCTGTTTTATAAATGCTGCTGCTATTTCTGATGGTAAATAACAATTTTGCATTATTTATGAACAGATTTTTACAACTGCTGATATTACAGCTGCTGCCAAAGCACTGAGAAAATTATTATTACTGTTTGTTGTTGTTTCTTTCTTACAATGCAGCCCTCTTGTTCTTTGCATGATGATGAGGTACCCGTCACGGTGTGACGACCGAGCGCTCTGTAAGTGCAGCGCCAGCGAGGAAGAGGGTGCGAATGCAAGTGGGTGACTCAGGTTGCCGTTGAGCTCGTGGCTGGTGCTCGGAGCTGAGATGAGCCGGGATGGATGGGGACAGGACCCGGGTAGTGGTTAAATTCGAAGAGGAGGAAGGTCTGATTATCTCCCTGTGCCAGCCGTCGAGAGGTCCATGGGACAAACATACTTTCTATCCCCTGTTAGCACTCCAGGGGAAATCAGAGGCTGCACCTGAATTTTGCAGATGCACATTTGGAAACCCACATTTCTAGGATCGTGTCGTTCAAGAACAGGCTAATTCCTGGGGCTGAGGAGCGTTCCCAGGGCAGAAACCCACTCCTGCTGCAGATACCAGCGTGAGAAGCTGGTGGCAAAGTCCTGGGCTTGGGGTGCTGGGGTCGCTGCTTGCAGGAGCTCCTACACACCCAAGGTGGGGTGTACTCCAGAGGCTGCTGCTTCTGCTCATCCTTTATTTCAGATGACACCCTACAGAGAAAAAAACATCCCTCACCAATCCTTCACATTTTAGTAATTCAGTCCCTTGCAGGTCTATTTCTTGTCCCCTCGAACATGGGGGAGAGTCAGCAGGCGCTGTCTAAGACCTGTTTGCTCATAAGACACTTGGCATTTGTAAGTAGCTTCAGACAGAAGCAGCTCTGGCGCAGCTTCACCCCAGCACTGGAAGGCGTGTGGAGGAGAGAAATCTGGATTAAATCCTTCGGGACAGGCTAGAGTGAGATATCTGGCCAGTGCTTGGGAGAAAAACGTGTATCACAATGTTGTATTAGAGAGTGGTTAAAGCTTTCGGAATGGTTTGCTCATGGTGGCTTCCGCTCTGTTTCACCCAACTCTGCTAACGCTGCGCTGCGGGGGGCGCGGGGCTGTAGGAGGTGGCCCACGGCTGGGCATCAGCTCTGTGGGTGACACACAGGTGACTTTGCAAAGGCCACCGGCTGCAGTTTATCATGTGGCTCTTCAGCTGCTGTCTCTGTCTGTCACCTGTCTCGGTCTCGTGCACTTTGTGTCATGCCGTTAGTGCACGTAGCGGGGCGTCCAGAGCAGGAGCTGCATCATACCCCGAGACCCCAGCTGCTCCCGGGCAGCCGCCGCACTGGGAG